CATTGTTCATCGATTTGCTTGAGTGGGCCCAGTAACATCTCCATTTTGAGACTTCTTGTTGCTGTGTTTGGAATATTGAATACGTCACGGGTAGCTTGCCGGGATTTGCCATGCAGGCGAGATGCTCCCGGTAGCTTGCCAGGCTCTCTGAGAGAGGCAGAGGAATCGAACCTGGCTCGGCCAGGCTGGCTGCGTGCAAGGCAAACGCCCTACCTCTGTGCTATCACTCCAGCCTGATCATATCGATCACTTAATCACTTAACTTCCCGTTAGTCGTCGATTTGCTCGAGCGGGCGCCAGTAACGTCTCCATTTGTCCCTGTCGCGTGCTAGTGTAGCCCAATGGCATCTCTTCGCTCCGGGAACATGGAGGGCCTCAAACCGATCGTTCATGACCTTGACAAAGAAGTCTGACCATCTGGTAGGTGGGCGGCCACGCGGTCTCTTGACATCCCGTGGAATCCAATCAGTAACAGCTCTAGTCCAACGGTCGTCTTTAAATCTCATTACGTGACCAGCCCATCTGATTTTCGACACCTTGGCAAATGAGACAGCGTCCCTGATCCTTGATCGTCGACGGATGTCAGAACTCCGGATTCGTTCTCTCATTTGAGTGAAACGTGATATTCCAAGCATAGCTCTTTCTATTCTTCTTTGGGAGACCTGAATGGCGTTCTCATCTTGTTTGCGTAGGGCCCAGGTCTCTGAGGCATATGTTAATGCAGGAAGAACAGTGGAATCAAAGAGATGTGCCCGGAGCCGGAGGTTCTTCGTCCTCTTAGCTATTTCTTCGACGTTCTTGAAGGCGTTCCAAGCCGCTCTCTTCCTCCTGCGCAGCTCGGGTGCCAGGTCATTTGTCATGTTGACCTCTCGACCTAGGTACACATAGCTGTTGCATTCGGAGATGGTCGTTCCATTGAGAGCGAATGGGGCGTCAGGAACAAGGCTATTTCTCATAAACATTGTCTTCGTAAGATTCAGCTGTAGTCCTACCTTTCCACACTCACGGTCAAAGTCGGCCAGCATTTGTGCTGCTTGGCTGATGTTTGGTGTTATTAAAACAATGTCATCAGCAAAGCGGAGGTGGTGTAGTTGCCGACCATCTATCTTCACTCCCATTCCTTCCCATTCCAGTCGTCGCATGATGTTCTCGAGGGTGGCACTGAAGAGTTTTGGTGAAATGGTATCACCCTGCCGCACCCCTCTCTTGACATCAACGATCACTTCTTTGTAGAATGGTGAGATCCTGGTAGTGAATCCGCAATACAGCTCACGGAGGATCCTGATGTATTGGGCTTGTATGCCCTGATTGGCTAGGGCTTCAATGACCGCTTCCGTCTCAACAGAATCAAAGGCCTTCTTTAAATCAATGAACGTTAAGCAGAGCGGCATCTTGAACTCCCGAGAAACCTCAATGAGTTTGGTTATCGTGTGGATATGGTCGATGGTGCTGAATCCTTTGCGGAACCCTGCTTGCTCACATGGTTGTCCTTCATCTAGTGTTCTGCCAATCCTATTCAGGATGACTCGAGTGAACAACTTGTAGATGACAGACAATAGGCAGATCGGGCGATAGTTGCCAATGTCATGGATGTCTCCCTTCTTGAACAGTAGTACGGTCCTGCTGGTTTTCCATTGAGATGGAACCTTGCATTCAGACAGGTAGCGAGTGAAGAGCCGAGCCAGTGTATTGATGAGTACTGACGGCAGGTTCTTCAGGTGTTCAGGTCTGACCTTGTCTGGGCCGGGTGCTGTTTGCTTCTTTACTGACGAAATGGCGTGTCGGATTTCGGAAGGGAGAACGTTGGGAACGACATACCCATCCTGTGGAATTTGGTATGTCGGCAAGTGGACATGGCTATCGAAGAGATTTGAGTAGAAGTCATGGATAATCTTCTCCATTGCCGTTCTGGAGGATGTGATGGATCCATCAGGACGTCGGAGGGCAGTCATCTTGGTCTTATAGTTGGCGAAGGAATTGTCGTACCATATTTGAGCTTGCCACTACTTCCACTACCCAGCCGTCGCCACACTCCAGGACGCTTTCCGGAACCGCGCGGCAGCTCCGGCCGAGACCCACGCACAACTGAAGACCCACAGAACAAGGTAAGCGGAACTCTCTGAGACCTTGGACTCCAGGCTCGGCGGACCCAGGGACAGAGCTTCTCTGCTTGCTCCCACCACCACAGGTGACAAAGGGATTCTAATCAGGAGCCCCACCCTGCCCTGCCCTGTCTGCTTCCATCAACCACCCAGGGATCGAATTGTGCACAGGAGACCCACCCTACCCAGATAAATACCCCACTGGCAGACTTCCACTCTCGACACTACTTCCACTACCCAGCCGTCGCCACACTCCAGGACGCTTTCCGGAACCGCGCGGCCGCAAGCGGCTGCGCGACACATCATAAGACACTAAATACCCGTCTTCTGGAATTGTCGTACCATATTTGATAGGGTTCAAATATGGTAACACCTACAAGGGTGTTTAGAGGTCACCCCAAAAGCCTCTATACCTCTCGGAAAGACTGGCAAGCTACCGAGAGTATTCCGCCCGCACGGAAGAGCCTGGCAAGCTATCCGCTGTGTATTCGATATGCCAAAACCAGTAACTACAACTGGTCTCATTCATCATATCGATGAACAACGCAAATCGATGAACAACGGTATGACAGTGCAACAGTGCTACAGTGCAACTACACACCTCACACAGTGTATAAGGTGCCTACCAATATCATTTAGGTAGCACTGCACAGTAGCACTGTCCTCCTGTTGTTCATCAATTTGCTAGAGCGGGCCCAGTATCGTCTCCAATGTGAGACTTGTTGTTACTGTGTCTGGCATATCGAATACGTCACGGGGAGCTTGCCATGCTTTACTATGCGGGCGAGATACCCTTGGTAGCTTGCTGGGCTCTCTGAGAGGGGCGGAAGAATCGAACTCGGGTTGGCCGGGTCGGCCATGTACAAGGCAAAAGCCCTACCCGTTGTGCTATCGCCCCAGCCCATCATTTAGGTAGCTTGAACTATTTCCATTATACAGACCAGAAAACTTGTGAGCTTTCCTAGTTTGGGGAGAGTGAGCTAACATAGCCACTGAGAGTGAGAGTAAGGATTAGGATTAGGATCCAGATCATGTGATGTCATAGTTTTAGCCCTCAGACCTGCACTCCCTGAGGCAGGGAATCACAGGAGCGCCTTTCTACAAAAGAGTCTGCATCTGGAAAGAGAAAGGTCAAGCAATCACTAGCAGTTCTCAACTCTCCAGTCATCACCCCCCACTTTGGTTTTTAGGCCACACCAGAGATGTTCTGGGCTTACTCTTGGTTCTGTGCTCAGGGGACTATAGCAGTGCCTGGGATAGAACCGTGGTCAGTCTCGTACAGCCCTAACGGCTGTAGTAACATGCCAGCCCTAGCAGTTCTCAACTCTTAAAGTTAAAGGCATATTAGATTAACTCAAGGCAAAAAAAAAAATTTTAAATTTGAACTTTTTCCAGTTCCCTTAAGAAATCCTGTTTGAATTATTCGCCTTGGGACTCTGGCCCTGTTCTATAGCAGAGGAGGCCGCTCCCCCAGATGGTTAGGGCTGGGGCATGTGTGCCAGGGCCTCCCTCAGGCAAGGTATGTGCTCTGCTATTAAAGCTACACTGCTGACCACTAGCCTACTGTTTTTAATATGTAGGAGAGGAATGTTTTTCCAAATAACTTTTTTTTTCTTTTTGGGTCACACCCCGCAATGCACAGGGGTTACGTTCTGGCTTTGCACTCAGGAATTACTCCTGGCGGTGCTCTGGGAACCATATGGGATGCTGGGGATCCAACACGGGTCGGCCGCATGCAAGGCAAACGTCCTACCCACTGTACTATCTCTCCAGCCCCTCCACATCACTTTTTAAAAACTCACCGGACCTTTTCAGAGGTTTCCCACCCCTTTTGCAAAAATACAATGTGAGTGATAATGTAGTGGGCAGGGCTCTTGTCCTGCCCACTGACCAGAGCTGGATCCTCAGCATCCCATCTTTATGGTCCCCAGCCAGCCAGGAATGATCCATGGGCACAGTCAGCAGTAAACCCTAAGCAGTGCCGGGTGTGCCTCAAAAACCAAAACAGGAAAAAAAAAAAGGCTCGGCTCCCCCCTGGAAACCTACCTACCCTTTTTAATGCACCGCAGCCAGCATGTCTCTTGGGAAACAGCTGGCATATCCCCCCCTCCCCCGACGAACTCCGCACTGGATAACAGCAACTTTGGGAAAGACTGCTCTCTCCCTCTCTCCTTCCCTCCCTCCCTCCCTCCCTCCCTCCCTCCCTCCCGCACACGGGGTTCGCACGGGGAAAATCAGCAAGCTCTCCAGAGTGCAAAGAAAACCAAGACACAGAAAGACGACCCGGCGAGATCCGTCGTGAGACGAGGACACCTGATGACGAGCACGCCCAATTTGTCTTTCGGAGGAGCTCTGGTTTACTCACACCTCCCACGCCAGATGGAAGTTTGCGTGCGCGCGGACACGCACACGCGGCTCCTGGGGACCCGGGGGCCGGAGCCCGGGTCCCCGCCACTGCGGTGCGCTCCGCGGCTCCGGGTGCCAGCGGGCACGCGCTGTCCAACCGCCTCGCGGCGACCCGCGTGGCCCGCGCGCCCCTCTCCGTGGAGCGCCCCGACGCCCATCCAACCCGAGCCACCGGCCCCGAGGGCCCTCGATTGGGCGAGCGCGCCCCCCACCCCCACCTGCCCGCCGCCCGAAGTCCGCACCCGCGCGCAGGACCCGCGCCCCGCGCGCCCCGCAGGAACCCGCCGGCTTCAGGTGCGAAGGCGGCGGCGGCGCGCGAGTCGCGGGCCCCAGTAGGGTCCTGCAGGGACCGGCGCGGCGCCTGAGTGGGCCGGCGGGACGTCAGTCAGGCGCCGGGGCGGGGCCCGGCTATACCCCCTCCGCCCCCACCCCCACCCCCAACCCCCGCCTGGTTATAATGACGCGCCGCGACGGCCGCGGGCTGGCCGGCCGAGGTGCGCGCCGGGGCAGGGGTGAGGTCCGGGGCGCACGGGGCCCGCGCAGCTGCTGCAGCTGTCGGGCGGCGGCGGGCGACTGAGACGCCGGGAGGAGGAGCGGGAGGAGCGGGCGCGGGACTGGGACACCTCCCGGCCGCCCGGGCTCGGGTGTACCCACTCGCCTATAGGTGTTGCTCCCAAGTTTGATCTCCCGGTCAAGCTAGGGGCGCTGGGGATCGGAGACCCGGGGCTGGAGCGCCGAGTCAGAGCTAGGAACTTAACGTCTCCGTTCATCTGCTGTCCACTCGATGAGGATAAATAATCATCTTTATTCATTTCTAGAACATGGATTTGGTGCGCCTCTGGCTAGGACTGCTGCTGCCTTTGGCAGCGGCGCTGGATTTCGGCTACCACCATCAGCAGGAGATGGAAGCGTTCTTGAAGTCGGTTGCCCGGGACTACAGTTCGATCACGCACTTACACAGTATCGGGAAATCGGTGGAAGGTAGGGTCTCTGTCGCGCGCACTCCCCCCGCCCCCGCTGTCATTCATTAGTTACGCCCTGGCTTGTTGTCTCCCCCGACACTCCGGGAGGGAGAGGTTACTCGGAGCTGGGTGGGGGGCTCCAACCGTGTTGGTTGCTTTCTGCTTCTCTTGCTACGTGGTACCTTGACTAGAGAGTAAGTAGGAAGATCCATCTCCACTGTCATTCTGTGTTACTGAGTACGAGGTGTTCCTGGCTTTACCGGTTAAGACATCGGCTGTCATTTCTTGTGCACGTTGTGTTTTGCTTTCTTTCCTAGGGGAAATTCTTACCTGCCTCAAGGTTTTCCTTTTTTCTTGGCTTCTTTGAATGTGATTTAGACTCAGTGTCTATCATCTCTTCACGTTTCTTTTAAGCTAAAATGGTGTAGTTCTATTGGTGAGAAATCTGTTTGATAATCCCTATGACTTAAAGCTATGCAAAAGTGTATGTATCTCAGTCGCAGATTATATATACTTTTATATGACAGTGATTGGTGATGAATACTGTCCCTGGGAGTCTCATGTTTATCTTTAGTTGCTTTATGTTTTAGTTTAGGCACTATATGTACAGTGTAAACATTTAGCTGTATACTGTAAAGTTATTATTTCTATAAATGGGGATTTGAATCATAAGAAAATTAACTATTTTGTTCAGTATCACTAAGATGACGAATTTATAATAGGATTAGAATTCAGATCCTTTCCCTTCAAGGCATTTCTGGAACAAGGCAAATAGTTGTATTGTTATTTCTTTTCTTTTTCTTTTCCTTTTTTATTATTTTTGTTTTGTTTTGTGTTTTTGGGCCACACCAGTGATTCTCGGGAGACCAAATGGGGTGCCAGGGATTGGTTGTGGTTTTTTTGCAGACAAGTGCCCTGCCCATTGTACTATCTCTTTGGCCCTACAAATATTGTTTCTTAATTGTCTTATGTAACACTGGTTCCCCCAAAGAGATGATCAGAAGACAGTGGTTAAGTCAAAAGTTTTGTCAAATTTATGTAATTTGAACTTCAACTCTTTCTAAGGTGTGTTCAGACTCTTACCTGGATTTTAGCTGTGAGTTTTCGAGTCAAACTGGAAGTCTTTTAATTGCCTTATTCTTAATCACTTTCCAAAAAAGATTAAGGTCATAATTTTTGTATTAAAGAAGTATTGCATCAATTGACTTATGTTAATGCCGTGTGAAGGCTGTGCCTTTGTTTTTAAACAACATTGCCAAATAGTGCCTATATTACACTGTAATCCAAATTATGAGGCTGCATGTGTGAGAAATCAAACTTTGAATCAGTTTATGTATTCAACATTTTGAAATCAGTTTTCCCTAAGGCTAGAAAAGAGCATTTTAAAAAGATCTAAAAATACCAATTATATTAATAAATGAGAGGTAGAACACAATGAGCTTGAGTTATTGCTCCATCATCATTTAAACCAGAAGATGATGAGGATGTTGTTAATTCAAGTAAGAAAGGATTTGCTAGGTTTTGTATGCTTTTGGGCACAAAGTGTTTGCCAAAGAAAGTTGGGTGCTCCTTCTTAAAGTGAAGCTATTTTGATCTATCCTGTGTACCCATAGGAACAAGTGGAGTAGGCAGGTTCTTTTTATCATTTAACTTTGTATGCATTCTGTGGTAATTAAAGGGCTAAAATTGGATGGGACCCAAGAGATAGTATAGGGATTAAGGTGCTTACCTTGCACGTAGCCAACCCCATGTCTATCCCAGTACCGCAGAGAGTCCCCTCCACCCAGCACTAGCCACAGCCAGGAGTGATTCCTGAGCATCACCAGAAGACCTTTAAAGAAAAAGTTGTCTGACATTGGCAGTGTTTGCATTGAATATGTTCTAAATAATTACTTGGATTAAGAGAAATCCCAGATCTTCCTTTCGGGATATCTCCGAGTGGGAGATTAACCCCGTGCTAATAACAGGGAGTCTGCTCTGAAGTGTGACTGCTGTTAGTGTGAGGATGGGAGGTTGGTGTTCCTCGTGTGCTAGGTGAACAGTTTTCACTAGGTGAAAAATTTCCCTTGGCCTTCCTGTCCACAGAGGCATAAGCTAAATTTGGTTAATGAGCAGTTACTGTATAAACTATTTCATTTTCTTCTCTTTCTTAAGGGCTGGAGCGATAGCACAGTGGGTAGGGCATTTGCCTTGCAAGCTGCCGACCTGGCCGACGAGAGTTCAATTCCCCCACCCCTCTCAGAGAGTCCAGCAAGCTACCAAGAGTATTTTGCCTGCATGGCAAAGCCTGGCAAACTACCTGTGATGTTTTTGATATGCCAATAACAGTAACAACAAGTCTCACAATGGATATGTTACTGGGCCCGCTTGAGCAAATCGATGAGCAATGGGAGGACAGTGCTACCGTTTTCTTTCTTGAACTGTAAACGTAGGCATGTTATCTAGGAAAGAAGGTAATGCTCCTACCTAGCCAATTGCATTTTTACTTTCTATAAATCACATAATATGTATTTTCATTGCTGCCATCATGGATTCTATTCTACTTTTATCCCCAATTAGTATCATTTTATTACCTATGCCCATGAGCTGACAAGATTTGCAGATGTGCATGGTTGCTATCAAATATTTCACCCTCTGAATTATATGATTTTTCTTTGTTAAATTTAACTTTTTATTCTTAGAAAATTTATCTTGGAGCTGGAGACATAGTAGGCAAGGCACTTACCTTGCATGCAGCCAACCTGAATTTGAATTTGAGCACTGCATATAGTCCCTGAACCCTGCCAGAAATGATCCCTGAGCACTACTGGTTGTCGCCCAGAAGTTGAAATAAAATAAAATAAAAGTTATGCTTTCTGGCATTTGTATAGATTCTGATGATCTCTGGTATAAACAGTGATGCTATAAACCGTTGACATGTGTCATCATAATTACTCTCTTATTTATTTATTTATTTCCTTTTTAATTTTGAAACACCCGAAACCCGCACCAAAGTTGAGCACACACATATATTTTTATATCCTTCCCCTAGATTCAGCAGAAGTAGACTGTCTGTACTATGGCCTAGCCTTTTGGAGGAAACCCCATTACCTAAGGACATGGTAAAGAAAATCACAGGGAAACAAGAGAAGCAACTCAAAAAAGAACTGAGAAGTGGGCTATAGCACTGTAGCACTGTCCTCCCGTTGTTCATCGATTTGCTCGAGCAGGCCCAGTAATGTCTCCATCGTGAGACTTGTTGTTACTGTTTTTTTGGCATATCAAATACGCCACGGGGAGCTTGCCAGGCTCTGCCATGCGGGTGGAACACTCTCTGTAGCTTGCCGGGCTCTCCAAGAGGGACGGAGGAATCGAATTGGGAAAAATCAGAAAATGTCTATAATTCATTGGTTCATTAATTTATCCTTCCATTTAGTGGGAGTGCCTAAGCCTCTTGGTCAACAGGTTGCTTCATATATCATTAGTAATATATATCTGCTTGCTTGGATCAAATATTTGCTGAGTGATACAGATACCTTACAATATCCTTGTAAATAAGCAAGTATGTGTGTCACTCAATCTTTGGCATCAAGTAACCTCCTTTAAAAAAATATATATTTATTGTGAATGACCCTTGCCCTGCTCTCCATGTTGCCCCTTTTCCCCTCAAATTAGTGTTACAGTCTTTTAAGATAAGATGTCTTACTATCTTTGTTTTAAAAATCTTATTTGGGGGAATCTTTTAGAATTATTTTTTTGAGGGGACCACACCCAGCTATGCTCAGGGCTTACTCCTGGTCTAACTTTGGGGACTGTATACGGTGCCAGGGTTCGAACCCGGATCAGGTACATGCAAGGTAAACAAGGGCCCTACCCTTTGTGCTAACTCTCTGGCCCACTTAAGAATCTTAGCTTGAGCAGGGAGATAGCTCCAAGTGCTGGATTGAATTGTTTGCATGTTCAGTGTCCCAAGTTTAATCTCTGGCAACACGTGATCACCACCTCCCACATCCCCGCCACCTTGTTCTGCTGGTATGACTCTTATGCCCTCCAGCATCACTGACCCAAACATTGAACTGTACAGCTGCTTGGCCACATATCAGTAGGACAAGCAGCTTGACCAACTTGGATATTGCTTGCAAAGCTCCCAGCTCCTTGGAAAAAAAATCTTATCTTGCCTCCTGCTAAATCTAATCTTTTTATCTGAGTAAGGAGAATAACTGGAAATGGTAAATAATAAAAATATCTTATCAAGTCCTTTCTCTGGTTTTATATACTATTTCCATTTCAACTCAAAGGGGGGGGGGGCTTTGCTTTCTTTATCAGGATAGGTCAAATGGGGCACGGAGCAGTTCATTAACTTGCTGTAGATCATATAGCCGACAAGAGTTAAGAAGGCGGTTTCGGCGCAAATCTGCATTTCTCCCTGGCACAGCACACTAGCCGGCAGGCACTTGGCTACTGAGCCGTTGAAATGCGACTTGACCACATCGGGCTGTGCCAAAAGTTGCTTTTGAAGTCTCAATTCCCTTGAGAGTGAAATATTCCATGAACATAGTTTGGTATTAGTTGCATGTCAAAATCATATTATTTAAATTAATAGATTAAGTAGATTAAATTAATAGATCAAATAAGAAATATATGAGGGCCTGGAGGAATAGTATTAAGACTTAAAGCACCTACCTTGAGACCTTGCATGTGTACCGTCATTAGTTGAAATCTCCTGTGTCCCAGGATTTCTGGGCACAATCCTGGCAGCATGATCTGGCAGCACGTTGCAAGAGCAACATACTTCAAAATTAATTTTACCTCTAAATTTTTATAGCTACGATTGCTAGAATACCTACCTAATACAATTTGCTTTATATTCTGATTAAGCTATGCTAACCTAGAGTAAGATTTGTTATTATTTATTTTTACTAAGTACAAAAGGTGTTCAAGTTTATTCAGAAAAATTTAGAAGATTTGGAAGGTACCAAGAAAACAATTAAAATCTTAGCAAAGAAAAAATTTGGTAGGAATTACCATATGTATTGCTTT